GCTTTCAGAGTCTGTGTTGAAAGATCAGCTGTTATCCTGATTGATTTACCCCTAAATGTAATCTGCTTCCTTTCTCTTGTAGCTTTTAAAATTCTCTCCTTATTCTGTATTTTGGGCATCTTCATTACAATGTGTCTTGTTGTGAATCTTTTATGATTTTGCACATTCGGCGTCCTGTACGCTTCTAGGATTTGGGATTCTGTTTCATTCTTCAAGTCTGGGAAGTTTTCTCATATTATTTCATTGAACAGATTGTTCATTCTTTTGCTTTGGACCTCTATACCTTCCTGTATCCTAAGAACTCTTAAATTTAGTCTCTTTATGTTATCCCATATTTCTTGGATGTTCTGCTCATGGTTTCTTAACAGTCTCGCTGAGCTGTCTATGTTCTTTTCAAGTTGAAATACTTTGTCTTCATTGTCATCATTCTATCTTCTAAGTGTTCTACTCTGCTGGTAATACTCTCATTTGAGTTTTTAATTTGGTTTTTTGCTTCCTGAATTTCCAGGATTTCTGTTTTTTTTTTTTTAAATAACCTCTATCTCCCTGTATAGTTGATGTTTTGCTTCTTGGATTTGTTTATATAATTCATTGTCGAAGTGATCTTTCATTGTCTGATTTTGCTGTCTAATGTCTTCCTTGAGACTCCTGATCATCTGAAGCATGTATATCCTGAATTCTTTATCTGACATTCCATCTGCTGTAGATATTACCTCTTTTAAAGTTGAGTTGACCTGCATTGCTGTTGTCCTTTCTTTCCTTGTCTTTTCATACTGCTCACGTTTCTTTCTGCTTTGTGAAACTGTTGTGTTATTGATTTTCCCCCTCTATATTTATATTTCTCTTGTGTAGTTGCAAAGTCTCCCTTTTGTGGAGAAAGACAATGTTAACAGTTCCCAATATCAATAGTACATCATCTAAGCACACGTTTTCCTTATTCCTACATTTATAGCTAGACTGTATGTCTACAAATGTTGGTTTCGATTATCATTTACAAATATAGTCATTAGTTTCATGAAAGGCATACCGTCTCTGGGAGCATGAAGAAAACTGAATTTCAGGTGTAGGATGTTATATTTAGGGGGAAAGGAGTGAGGGTATGGGGTTAATCTAACTTAGTAACTTTGGAGAGCTCTAACCAATCGATGGGTAATTTATGGAAGAATGTATAGATTCAAACTCCTATCTGTATTTATAAGATTACCCTACTTATAAATAATAAAATTTAGGGGGTTGCAAGTGGGATAGAGGGAGTAAGAAGAAGAAAAACAAATATGAAGGAAAGAGAGAGAAAAAAGAGAGCGGGAAAAAGAAAATAAGAGAAAAAAGAAAAGAAATAAAAGGAGGGGAGGGAGGTGGGGCATATGGAATTCCTCTATATTATATATTCTGGTGGTTTAGTTATTAAAGACCTTTTCCATGCACAATTCTTGGTTTCACATATGTTGAGGTTGTGAGGACCAGAGGGGGAAGGGTAGAGGAGACTGGATGAATGGATGAAAAGAGAGAGAGAAGAGAAAAAAAGAAAAAAAAGTCTCTCAGAACTCTGTTTTCTTTTCTTCCAGTAGGTGGTGTTGTCTATTCCTAGTTTGAGTCTCTGCGTTCAGGGTGGTGTTGGTAGTCAGTGTGAGAGGACTTGAGCTTCCACCTGTGGACTCTCTACTCTTATTCTCTGATGTAAACCAGGTGCCTGATCCGCTGCAGAACCGAGCTGGTAGCCACGCCCACCGGTTTATGGGTTTTAAGGGTTGGTTGGATTTTCCAAGATGAGTTCCATTAGTTTTTCTCATAAGGTGTTTGATGAGGTGGGGGGTGTTGGGGTGACCTTATGTTTGTCCAGAGCTCGATCAGGTGACCACACAGGTGGGTGGCTGGGCCCCTCCTCCAGTTGGGGTGGTCTGTCTACCGCACAGGCGGGAGGCTGGGCTCCTCCTGCATTGTTTTCAGTTTTTAATGCTACAATATCTAAAGTTGCTGCAAACATTCTTATGCATAGAGCTTTGCCAGCTTTCTTTTAGTGGACTTAGTAAAGGTTTTTATACAGGTTTAATTCAGAGCAGGAGATATATTTATTTAAATGTTACCATGTTTCAAATTGCAAGATTCATCCCTGCTGTGCTTTTCTCTATAATACTTGCTATCTTCTAGGTGACTTACTTGTCTTGATTGCCCTTTTCTCCCTTGTTGAATATATAAGCTCTCAACAGAAGAGGGATGTTGGTTTTGTTTCACCAGCACCTTGAATAGTGCCCGGCAAATAAATACTTGCTGAATGAATTAATAGTGGGATTTACTCAGACCTGTAGGATAAGATGGGTTTTGATGAATGTCAGTAGCAACAGACATTAATGGAAGCCAGTGAGAAAATAATTGCAGTGACAGGTCTTTAGCGGAACTGAGAAGCAACAACAGTCCATAGGGACAACGAAATGAGAGATTGAAAAGTTAGTACCTGGAGGTAACTTGACAACCAAAGCACCTTCCTCTGGAAGGTCAGGATGGGAGAGGTAGAATGTAAATAACTTGTTGTCAGAGACAGGGACTTCCCAAGGTTTAAAGAATAGAAATGGAACAATTTAAGAATTAAACAACTCAGCTTGAAAATTGAGTTTACAGAGAAATTGTCACTTTCTCATTTGGTGTAACTGATTTTTTTTTTTTTTGAGCCATTCCATTGAACTTTTAAGGGTCTAACTTATCGGTAGGTACTTTTTATTAGAGGTCGTTTTACCCAAAGTAGAGTAGCTTGACAAATTCATAAATATATAAAATACATAAATAAATACATAAAACATTTAGCACAGTATATGCCAGTCTTATTTTAAGCAACTATTAGGTACCCTGTTTTGGGAGATATGAGAACTAGGCCCAGGGGCGCTTTACCACTGAGGTACATTCCCAGCCCTTTCTTATGTTTTATTTAGAGACAGGGTCTCCTGTGTTGCATAGGACCCTGCTAAATTGCTGAGGCTGGCTATGAGCTCTCACTCTTCTTCTGCCTCAGCCTCCAGAGCTGCTGGAATTACAGGCATGCGCCACTGCACCTGGTTTAGGCAGTCATTCTTCAGTATGGAAATTGCAATAGTGTTCTTTGCAATAGCCTTCATTGTTACCCTGAAGTGCATGCTTTTATACTTTTTTAAAAGGCATTTCACTTCACCACACTCTTAAAATATCATTTGTTCCCAAGTTGAGTTATTAATGACAGGTATGATTTATGAGGTAAAAAAGTTTCTGGAGAGACAATTGAATTATTTGTGTCTCTCTCTTGATTTTTTAGTTTCTTTCATTTCAAAACATGACATTGATGTCATATATAACCTTTCTCTTCCCCCATAATCTCTTAAGATACTTTACCAATGTACTGTTTGCTTAGGTGAAATATAATATGAGGAACCCAAAACACCAGTGTTATAAGAAAAGAAAAAATAAAGAACATTTCAGATAAGGAGGGAAGGATTAATAGCATAATCTTATTGTTGTACCTAATATTTGAGCTACTAGGTATCTACTCAGAATGATGTTTGAGAACTGTTTTCAGTATTTTTAAAGCTTTAAGAAGAAATAGGATTTTCTGATAAATACAGAAAAGAAGATGAACAAGGAAGGAAGGCATACTAGGAACTATTTTTAAGTGAATGAAAGCAGGAGTAATAGGCAACATCATTTTTTTATTTTTCCATGCCAAATAGTAAAGACATAGTTCTTTGTATTCTAATTCTTGAAAATCCCTTCGTGTGCATTATGTAATGAAGGCCCAAAGAAATTAAGAGACTAACATCATGTAGCTAGGAAATAACAGCCCTGTAGTTTGAATTCAGAAATCTCCAACTCTGTCATTACACCTTATATCAAACTAACAAGAATGGACAGTGACACAAAGGATCAGAACTTTAGAAATTTTTATACTTCTGTTGAACACCGAAAAGGCTGCATAACTCTTGAAATGTGTGCCAAAATACTGTAATTGGGAATATGAGGTTGTATGGTGTACCATTGTCTGCTTTCATTGCTGGTTTATCTTGTGCCCTGAAATTCCTTCATCTGCTGTGAAAAACACAATAGACATTTTGGTTTGTGTTTCATGCAAGCATTATGAGTGTGTCTTATAGAAGCAAGGGTAGAATTAGAGGTACTGTGGCCCTTACAAAACAAATTCACTTGCCTTGATCCAAACAACTGACTTTTAATAGTGGAACTATATAGAGACTTCATGCTTTGAGGCCCATGCCAGAAATGCTTTGTTATATGCCTGTACCCTTGTCAATTTTATTTGTATATATGTTTGTAATGAAATCAGCACAGTTTTTTGTTTATTGTTGTTTATTTTTAGTGGTGCTGTGAATTGAACCCAGGGCCTTATACATACTAGGCAAGCAATCTATCAATGAGCTACACCCCAGCCCTGTTTCTTCTTTAAATTAAAAATAAATTAATGATTCAAAACAGAATCTTATAATTATATTAATAAGGATAGTATAAGGCATTTTATAGTTTTCTCTGTGGAATTGACTTCAAGAAGTTTGAGGGTGTTTCCTCCACTCATTACAAACGTTAAAGTACCATTAAAGGGGTTGTAGCAACTGGGTATTTCTTCCCATATAATCTGTAATTAGTGTAAGGTATAATCTATTAAACAGCAATTTTTAATAAATCTTGCTACTATTGGAAACCAGGCTAAAGCCATCTTTCTTAACACATTATTTGGTTGTTAGCATAATATCAGCTATTTTAAGATCCTAAACTTTTCTTTATCTTAATCAAAAGAATGTCTTTAGGGAGGAATCCTGTGGTTTCCATTTGCCCAATTTGTAATCTCTTATTGAGGAGGATAGAGAAATTTGTTATATTCCTGTATTATTGGGGAGCTATATAAACCAAAAAATTGCTATAGAGCCTTAATAGCAGTCAGGTTAGAAATATGATGTGATATTTGCTGGGTTAAACCTACACATTGGGAGATTGTGTTTATGTATTAACCAGAGTTTACTTGCTTGCAGGGAGAATGCTAGAGAGCCAGACTCCTGGAGCAGTTTATCCTATGAAATCCCTTATGGAGATTGTTCTGTGAGGCATCATCGAGAATTGGACATCTATACATTGACCTCTGAGTCTGAATCACATCATGAACCTCCGTTTCCTGGAGACACTTGCTCTGGACATATTTTTAAACTTATGAATATCCAACAGCAACTGATGGTAAGGAAGAAAGTTTTCATTTGCAGGTTTATGTATGCTCCTGTGTGTGTCCCTCTCTATCCCAGTGAAGCTTGCTGTTAAAACATAAAATGCCTCCACCAAGGCCATGAAACCTGTAAAGCAGCGTTCATGGTATTAGATGATATCACTTAAGATACAGAATTAGCATTAGGGTTGTAGTAGTAGGGGGCTGAGTGTTTTAAATTGACTTTTGCCAGATTTATAAACACACATTGTAGATGTAGAAGTAAGAAACAACTAGAACTAAATTTTCCTGGCATAAAAGGAAATTTGTCTGTGTTTGGTTTAATTTTGTAGAACTAAATGAGGGAAAAGAGTTTCTGAGATTGTTGCTAAAGAACAAGAACCCAGTTTGCTCATCAATGAAACCTTTTCCCAGCTGTTTTAGTGAGTGATTATAGTGTTGCTATATTCAAATTGATAGTTACATGGTTAAAAAGATCACTAAAAAAATTTAAAATTTTATAATCCATTCAGTCCTTCAAGATAAAGTTGTTACCAGACATAAAAACATTACAGACTCCCTGGTAGCATTTATTATGAGTAGTATAGACGTCATATGGGTACATTTCTCTTGACCACAACATCTGAAAGGCTAAGTTTAATTTTCCATGTTGTTTATTTCAGAGCTGATTGGATTTGGATACAGTTTGTTAATAATTTCATTTAAGGTCATTTAGGTTCAGTTCAATGGCAGAGGCTTCTTTGAGAGCAGACATGATTTCTGAGACCAGCAGGCCAAAAGATTCCATAGTAGGGTTGTATAATGTGCCTGCCTCTGTCTTTTTGAATTGTTTGTTCCAAAGCAGTCATTTTATTTTCCTTTGAAGAGACTACTAGAAAATCAGTTTTTTCCCCCTTAGAACTCTTCTTACTAGGTGAATGATTGTCCACTTGAAAATTGCAATTAATAGATGTCAAAGCTACCAGAAAGGTATGGTTGGCAGAAAATATGAGCAGTTAAAACTGTGGAGGATGCATGTATTAGGAGCTTCCAAAATTCTTCAGGTAACATTACTTATTTCTGCAGATCTCTGTTTTGTAATGTTCATTAAATGTTGTGACCTGCTTTCATAGTTTTTAGGAGACTGTTGCTTTCAGTATGAATGGTATCAAGTTAATTTTGAATACTCTTAAGTGTAGCCTGCAAGCCTTTAGTGAAAATCCTTTTTTTTTTCTTTTGTGGTATTCTCTAATAGAGATACTTTAATGAGGATGACACATTTTACTCTTTTATATATAAATTTTTACAGTAGACTCAGGAATTAGGAAGAGTCTCATGATATAGTGTGCAGCATATTTACTGAATGACTAGATGATTGAGAGGACAGATGACAGTAGGTATGCATGAGATCATTGTAGTTGTTCGAATAATAACAAATAATAACAAATCACATATTTTAAAATAATTTTAATGTATCATGCAAATAGTATTCCTATAACAATTGCTGAAGTCAGGATATAAACTTACTAAAGACTCCTGTGTAATTTTTTCCCCTCCATTTTTCCTAAGACTGGTCTATATACGCATGGGAATTTTACATAATTATAACAGATTAAGTATATAATTTTTTCCCCACATTGTATTATAAATGTTATTTTCTGATTATACTATGGTCTTTATAGTTAACATTTATATAATAGCATAGTATTCCTTCCATCAGGTTGATGAACCATGATTGTCTTAACCATTCCCTTGTGGCTTCTATTGCTTACATTAAAAAAAAATACTTTAAAGTTGCAAAAAATATTTTTGAGATTACTTGTAATATCTCAAGTCCCAGTACCCTCTGAGAGTAATTAAGTTAGACATTAGTGCTGTATGTTCTCATATAAGTCAGTATTGACATCAAAATGTCAAAGAATACCTACCATGCCACTTTTTTGTTTTTTCCTGGAATTTGAACCCAGGGCCCCATGCATGCTAGGCAGTCATTCTTCCCCTGAGCTATATCCTCAGTCATGTCACTGCTCTTGAAATTATGAACCAATATGTAAAAAAGTTAAACTAGATTGGTTGGGCTTTTTTGGGAGATTAAAGGATTCTTTGTAACTCATCAGGGAGTGTTTAGGATACATAGACATCTGATTGCATCTTGTGTTGTGGTTAAAAACAGTTTATGAAACTGGTTAGGATTTATTTATACTTGAATATATGAGACAGGATTAAAGTAGACACTTCCCCTTTAATGAATATATTAAAAAGCATACTTTGAAGGTGCTCACAGTGCTTTTTAAAACTCTTTTATTTGTTCTAATTAGTTATATATAACAGTAGAATGCATTTTGACACATTGTACACAAATGGAGCACAAATTCTCATTCCTCTGGCTATACATGTACTGATGCAGAAGTCAGGCCAGTAGTATAGGCCAGTAGTATAGTCATGCGTGTATATAGGGTAATAATGTCTGTCTCTTTCCACCATCTGTCCCACCCTCATACCCCTCCCTTTTCCTCCCTCACTCCCCTCTGCCCAATCCAAAGTTCCTTCATTCTTTCCTTACCCCCCCCCAATTGTGGATCAGAATCTGCTTTTTTGGGGTTTGGCTTATTTCACTTAGCATGATATTCTCCAGCTCCATCCATTTACCTGCAAATGCCATAATTTCTTTCTTCTTTAAGGCTGTGTAATATTCCATATCACATATTCTTTATCCATTCATCTGATGAAGGGCATCTATGTTGGTTCCATAGCTTAGCTATTGTGAACTGAGCTGCTACATTGATGTGGCTGTGTCACTGCAGTATGCTAATTTAAAGTTCTTTGGTTATATGCCAACGAATGGGATAACTAGGTCAAATGGTGGTTTCATTCCAAGTTTTCTGAGGCATCTCCATATTGCTTTCTATAGTGGTGCACCAGTTTGCGGTCCCACCAGCAATATATGAGTGTACCTTTCCCCCCATATCCTCACTAACACTTACTGTTGATTGTATTCTTAATAATTTCCATTCTGACTGGAGTGAGATGAAATCTTAGAGTAGTTTTGATTTGCATTTCTCTAATTGCTAGAGATGGTGAACATTTTTCCATATTTGTTGGTAGATTGTATTTCTTCTTGGCTCACAGTGCTTTTTTAAAATAAGATTTTTGAGCCTTAGTTTTAATCTACTTTCTAGCATAATTTTCTATATAGAAAAGAATCAGTGAGTATTTCCTAAGTCATTTTTAACACCCCAGTGGAGAGAGGAAAATAATACAGAAATGAGAGATAATTAGGGCTGGGGTTGTGGCTCAGTGGTAGAGCGCTCGCCTGGCACGTGGGAGGCCCTGAGTTCGATCCTCAGCACAACATAAAAAAAAATAAACATATTAAAAAAGAGAGAGAGATAATTAATTTGTATTTGCTTAGATCACCGTATCATGTGACCTTGGAAGGGCCAAGAGGGTAGTGAGTTATGTTCAGTAGAGTTGGGCTTATAAGTATCAGTGACATCTTCTCTCGAATAGCTTTTTAAAAAAGTTATCTTTGGAAAAAAAATAAATAAAAATAAAAAGTTATCTTTGATTTCCTCCTAGAAAACAAACCTCAAGCAGATGGACAATCTTACGCCCTTAATGATGACAGCACAGGATCCTTCCAGTGTGCCCAGTGCCCCAGAGACAGATGGCCAGTTTCTTCTCTGTTCACCTGAGTCCTCCAATAGCCAGCAGCTTTCTCCTCCTCCTAAAGAGACTGTGAGCACTGTGTGCTGCCAGGGGAGCCCTGTTGGACCGATTGAGAATTCCTGTGATTTTTCAAGTGTAGTTGAGGAAGAGAAGACAGACCGATCTGACAGTAAAAAAAATAAAGGCGTGGCGAGAAAAGGGGAAGAGGTGGAGCCAGAACCTATTATGGACTCTGGAACTGTGTCCAATCAAGACAGCTGCATTCAGAGCATGCCTGACTGTAGAGTAAAGGGCACAGCTGGCCTGCTATCCTGTGGAAACCAAAATGAAGAAACTGGAAGAATGTCTTGTAGAATGGGCACAGACGAGGAGTCTTTGAGCATTGGAGGCAGTGTGCTGCAGGGAGATGTGGTCACAGAGTTCGGCACAGCCCAGCATTTCTCAGGGGGTGAACTAGCAGACAGTTCAACAGCAGAAAGCAGCGCCTCACAAGGTGCAGGGGAAGTGGAACATAGCCTCATGAACATAGCTGCTGCCACCCAGAATAATATGCCTCAAGCAGTAGAAAGTACACAGGAAAGATTTGAGAAGTCAAATATCAGCACAACTGGAGCCGCTGACATACCAGTCATAAGTGAGCCTGTGGATAAAATCAGTGTTCCAAACTGTGTCTTTGCCACAAGTGCCCCGAGTAGTGACAGACCTGCTGAGTCTTCATTTGGATTTAGTCTTGGAGAAACCCCCATTGAAAAAACAGCAGAAACTGAAACTTCTGGAAGTTGTGAGGAAAGTGCTGATGCTCTAGATCAGAATTCTCTGATAATCCCAACTGCTACAAATAACAAGATTTTAGATGAATTAGAGCCTAGCACTTCCTTAGCAGACAGATGTGAAGCAGTGTTACCTTTGGATTTACTCTTTTCTGAGATAGAAAAAGATGTAATGCCAAACCAGGGATCAGAAATGAATTCATCTCATACTCAAAGCCAAAACAGAAAATTACTGGCTTATTGTGCCAATGGAGATGATAAACTCTGCTCTGACTCGGAATGTCAACAGAACACAGTGACTTCTAGTGGTGAAGTGATTGCAAAACATTGCAATGACTTGGTCAGCCAACCTGAAAACACCATGAAAGGGCAACCCAAAACACAAGACCCATCCACTGCCATCTGCCTTGAAGACCAACAAGTGAATACAATCACTTCAGAATGTGTAGATTTGTGTCCTCTCAAAGTTTTGAATAAAAAAGGTCAGGGAAAAGATTCAAAACTAGTTACGCTTTTAACAAGTGTTCTTGAGGTAGTTTCACCTCTGTATCCAATTGTGCCTAAAACTGAGAAAGAACTGGTTCCAGACCAGGCGGTGCCATCTGACAGCACTTTCTCTCTGGCAGCCAGTCCAGGCAGTGAATCAGTAACCAAAGATGACGCACTTTCTCTTGTCCCCTCCCAGAAAGAAAAGGGAACAGCAACTCCTGAACTACACAGGGCTTCAGCTTGTAGAGATGGCCTGGCTGGAGGAGATTTATATGATCCTGCTGAACAGTTGCCAGGAGACAGGGCAATAGGCCTGTCCTTGCCCTTGGCTGCTGTGGAGCTTCAGCTAAGCATGGGGAATACCAGCCCCGGAAGACATGGTGGGGAGCTTGAAGGTCCTGGCCCCTCATCAGCTCCTGAAGTTCTGACTAACTCTTCTCTACTGAGTGTGGGTAAGGCCACTTTGACTTCTAATTCAGTTTTCATTGAAGAAGGCAAAAATCTGGTGGTTACAGAAAGCTCTATAGTGCAGAGACAAGATGACAAGGACAGAGCAGTGCCTTGTTCCTCCATTAAGGGAGACATGCTTTCTTCAGGAACATTTCAGGAAGAGCAGAGAACACTACCTCCCGGACAAGAGACTCCAAAATTCTGTGAAAAACCTACGTTGGTGGCCTGTGCTGAGGACAAAGCACTTCAGCCCAGCCATTCACTGGGCACACCCTCTGCTTGTCTTAAGACAGAAACTAAACATAACAAGGAAGTGGCCCCACAAGTCTCCCTGCTGACTGAAGGTGGGGCTGCACAGAGCCTGGTGCCACCAGGAGCAAATCTGGCTACAGACTCAAGGCAGGAAGCCTTGAATGCAGAACAGAACAGCTCACCTCTGTTGTCTGGTTTGCTGCCAGATGAATCTGAGGCTCTTGACTGCAATCCACCTTTTGCTCTGGATGTGGGAGTTGATAATACTGAATCCCAGGGAAAAACCACTGTTCATGAGTTGAGTGGAAATGTGATGGTGGATGTTGCAATGGTTAATGCTCTCCGAGGTACTGCTAGGCCCAGAAGAAAGGATACATCACCCAACATCCAAAACATCCCAATTTCAGAAGTTTTATTGAGCCAGGAGAAGAATGTGATCCAGAGTTTGCCAGGAGATTTACCAAACAAAGGTATGACTGGACTACAGGGAACTGCAAACCCGGGGATGGTACCTCCTGATTGGAAGACAGGGAAGCAGGAGAGAGCAGACCACGGCTATTCTATGGGTGACTCTGAAGAGTCACAAGTGGATGATGGAGCACTGCAGCTTATTGCTAAGGAGCTCCCCACACAGACAGGGCTCTCAGCTCTCGATGACAAGGCTCCCACTGGCATGAGAGAAGTCACACAAATCTTGGCTCCAGGCAGGGAAAGGAGTGATCGCATGGTCTCTGTTGAAGCTGCACATGTGCCTGAGGGAGCAGACTTGCTAGAGGTGACTGCCTGCCGTATAGTGGAAGCTGTCATTGAAGGAGTCAAAGCCTCAGGAGTGCTGATTCCTGAGGGGAAAATCAGTCAGTTATCACCATCTGGTCCTGATCTGGGCCCTAGGACAGAACAGCTGACTGGGAACCCTTCAGGATGTTTTGCTGGAAGGGAGGAGCCAGAGATTGGTCAGCCCGAGCTGGCAACAGGTAAGCAAAGCAAAATACAAAATTAATATTTCAAGAAGCAGATTTCCTTTACAGTCTCTGGGACATGCTGTAAAATACAGGTGTCTTTGTTGTTTGAAGGTCTTTCTTGCTCATTGAGTAGATTGCCAAGTGAATAGACACCACCATCAAGAGACGCACATCGTCTTGGGGTTGGACAGATTTTGCTTCCTGTATTATAGACTCACAGCTTGATTGCTTAAGCCTGTAAGTGCTCTGTCACACTGGAGCAGTTGCAACTTTCCAAACTGGAAGGTGGTGCCTAGATCACAAGTACTGTAAAAGATGAAGGAATTTAGCAGATGTTTTTATTTACACGGCCTAGTTCTTTTCTTTGGAACCATAAAACAGTGCTGTAAAGGATGTGTTTTATTTACAAGCCTGAAACTCTTCCTCTTTATCATTCTGTCTGTATTCTGAGAAAATTTAGAGTCAGAGTAGTTTTATGAACAGCTATAAATAAGTATCATTTTAAACCCAGCACCCAAAATGGTGGTATGAGGTCAGTGGTTTGACTGAGGAGACTCCCTCCTTTTCCTGCCTGAGGAGCAAAACTCCAGTTCCATTGCTTATTACTTCTGAGCAGAGTCTGAGAATTCAGGACCCTGCACAACACAGAGGATAGGATGCAGGATTTCCGCCCAAGCCCAGTCTGCTGAGCTGCTGTCACCAGGCAGACCTTGTGTCTGCTTATCTTGGTGAAGCAGCTGCACTGAGCAGATTGCTCATACAGCAGCCTGTTCCATCTATGGGTAACCACGTCCAGAGACAGCAAAGAGAAACCACTGTTGCTCAGTGGAAATAAACTATCTGAATAAAACTTCTTATTGGGGGTTGAGACTGAAGCTGAAACTGGAGTCTGTCTTGGTCTTGACTTCTGAAGTCTTTAAAGGTCAGTTGGATGCACATTCTTATACTACCATCTGCTACCATCGATAGACAGAAGACCTATCTGCATGCCTGCCCCTGTGCTTTTGTAGGTAAGAGATAGCTTGTTTATCCTTATTATTTGGTTGTTTTTGTTCTGTTTTTTCCCCTTTTTAAATTTTGACAAGCTTTTATAGTATAGTACGTGTTAGGAGTGTGGGGTGTGGTGTGGTGAGAAACGGAGCAACAAAAACAATTGCTTAAGAAGAAGTGCAATTTAAACACAGTGGTTAATTTCCCTGGTAAAGAGCTTTTAGCCATTTTGTACCCTCCACCCTGTCCCAGCTGGGGGATTTAAGTAATCGGAAGTAGAATTTTTGGTGACTAAAGGTTTTTAGATTTATTAATGCTTTAAATTATTAGTGATAGAAATTTGTTGATTGCTGTCTCAGAATTTAAATGAGAATGTCTCTACTGTTTTAAATAAGGCACAACAACAAGTCTATTTTGGGGCCCCTGGCAGGTTGGCATTTCAGAAGAATGGGAGTGGCTGTAAGTTGATGCCTGGCTATGTTCATTTAATTTGGGTGCTGTGTCCTTGGCCACTTGGGTGGAATTATTTCTTCTTCTGACTCCATGGTCAGAATTTAACCCAAGCAACTTTGTACTATGTAGGGTTTGTGTCTGTAGTGCTCTATGAGAAAAGGTGACAATGGAGAATTTCAAACTTTAATAGTACATAAGTGTAGTGAATACACTAGGAAGTGTTTTAAGATTGTAAACTCTTTAAGAAGGAAGAAAGCACAAATCAAAATTTAATAAATAAATAAAAGGAAATTAAAAAGGAAAGAAAATAGGAAATTTCAACAGTGTATGTGGTCTTGAGATTGGTGTATTTTATGTATGTGAATTACTTGTCCTGTTTCCAAAAGGTGTCTTCATAGGTTTACTGTTCTCATGATCTCAAACTACAGGGAAAAGTATCCAGTGATAAAGAAATCGGTGCCTTCTTCAGAAATTAGGGCTGGGAAAAGTCCCTGGTCACATTACCCTAAGAAAAAGCACCTGAGTCTGATCTCAGAGCCAAAGGGTATTTCCTAGGAAATTTACATTTCACTTGTAAATTTAACTATGTAGTTTTACCAGAGAGGAAACATAGGTTTAGCTGCTGATTTGGAAAGAGCCAGATAGAATAAAGGGGATGTGATCTCTCACCCATCAAAAGCATTGATTGCAGTGCTTAGGAAGTTGGTGGTGCATGACTGAACCATGCCAGTCCCACAGAGCTACCAACACCCCTCACATCTCTGTAATCACTGTTTACCATTGGAACTGGTTGCTATGTGCCAAGATACATATTTTCTGTTTTGGGGTATAGGAAAGTAAGGTTGTGCCAAGAATACCATCCCTAGATGAATAAAATAAAATTAAAAAAAAAATCAACACCTATTCCTCCAATTACTCTCACTTAGAAATATTTTGATAAAGGGGTATTTCTAAAGGCATTGTTCAGTGAAATTTTTTTTTTTAACTTTATAGTTTATAAAACTTAGATTTTGATACTCTGGGCAAAGAAACTTCTTAATCCATTTTTAAATTGGTAGTAAGATTATATAATTATAAAGGCAAGGAGAGAAAAAAGGAGATTTATAAATGTTCGTTTATAGGAATCTAACCTTCCCAAATCAAAAGAGAACTTTGGACATGTTGCATGTACTTCTAGAATAAAATCTTAATTAGTATAATTTATTATTTGGCAAAAGAAACAAGCTTTGTGTTTTTTGGTATTTGTAGGGAGCATTTTTATTTGTCAGAGTAGTGGTATCATGAGATCAATGAAGACCACAGCACATTTTTCACATGAAAATGAGATGACAGTTCTGTTTGCATTTAGAATACTGAGACAAATTTGTTAATCATTTTTCCCTTTATACAAGTATCAGAAGCCCAGATTTACCTCCAGCATCATTTTTATCACTTCCTTCCTGTATTTGTTTGGCCAAGTAACAAAAGCATCACTGTTCAGTCTGTTGGTGTGGCCAGCTAGAAGACAACTACATAATACTAGAGAAAATATGTATAAAGATTTTTTCTTAATAAAATGAATTGCTAGTCTTTTTTTTAATGTTTTGGTTTTGGAGAAAATAAAGAGTTAAAATCAAAAGTAATTTTCTGGAGTAGTTCAGTTTTAGTGATTACAGTGATAGGGTGGATCGGGAGTGTGTGTAGTACAGATTTAGAATAAGTCAGACTTGTTCCAGAGGGTTTGTCTCATTTTCAGTACAAATCCCTCTGGCTATTTTTTAAAAAAATATTTTTGGTATAGTCAGAAAGGACTACTTATAGCTGTTAATCTGTTCCCTTACGGTTTATGAATTGACTTTTCCACACGGAAGTCAGCACCATACTCACAGATTTGTCATGAAAAGTCAGGGGTGAAATGAACATGAAAACCACACAACCATGTGATAAGAGTAGCTCACTCAGCATGGGGTCAGAGTGACACCAGCTCCTGACAGCAAAAGAATACTTTTCCATTTAAGGCAAAACAAACAAAACATGAAACCTGGAGCTTGTTGTGTAAATAGTGAGTCCCAAGAATGAATTTTTTCAAATGCACTCACTTTATAACCCTCCTTTTCTCTTCAGAAATGCCAGACAGGAAAGCTGAAGATGAAGTGGATTTTCTAAGACAGACCAGAGCTAGTTCAGTGTCTGAAGAGGTGGCTGTAGGGAATGGAGCTACCACACGTAGGATGAAACAAGGCCCAAAGACCCAGGCGGTAAGTAGCATCAGTAAGTGTATAAGCACAGTGTATGTTTATTAGTTTGGTCTCCTGTGTCTGATTTATGGCTGTGGTTTTTGTTTGGGGCATAGGGGCACAACAGTATCCCTGCCCCCTTTTTCTCTAATTCTGATATAGAAATGTGGTTGTTGTTGCAGCTAAGCTTTCATAAAAACTGTGTACCACACAACAAAGTTTGAGATGGGCCCGCCTACATGAATATCTTGGAGAGTACAGTGAAATACATTTCCTCCATGAACACAAGACTAACTTTTGTCATAACGCTTAAAGTGGTCAGACAGTAAGAATTACCACAAAAGGGGAATCTATAAACCTGTCTTAAACCTGACTCCTCTTTCAGTAGCAGCAAAAGTGAGGTTTTTGTTTTATAGCTGTCTAAAATATGAAGTGTTATCATTTTTAGCAAAGAAAAAAGTTTAGTTTGTTTTTCATAACACCTTTATTGAGATACCATAAAAACCCACCATAAAAACCCACCCATTCAAATAAAGGGCACATTCAAATAAAGGGCAGCTTTTAATATAGACTTATGCAGCTGCCACCACTAATGTTCTAACTTGACAATATTATCCTCACTCCATAAAGAAAGTCCATGCCCGTAGCAGCCCACCCTTGCTGCTCTTCCCTCCCATCATCTTCTGGCAGTCATTTATCCACTTTCTGTTTCTACAGATATACCCATTCTGGAACTTCATATAAAAGAATTACCCAATATGTGGTCTTTTGTGACTTACTTTGTTCATTTAGTGTGGTATTCTCAAGGTTAATCCATGTTGCAACATCAATCATTGTTTCAGTTCTTTTTAATTGTCAGTCTGTTGTATAAATTACCACATTTTATTGTGTATTTGAATTGTTTCCACTTTCTGGCTATTAGAAATGTCACTGTGAATATTTTACGTACAAATTTATGTGAACATAATGTTTTCATGTACCTAATAGTGGAATTGCTAGGTCATATAGTACTTCTATACTTAATATTCATTAGATTTTTAAAAATGTTTTTCTTCAAAATCTTGAGATAATTTTTCTCTGGTTTAAGGCTACTAACTTTTAAAATGAGATCTTAAATTCATTAGGGGAAAATAGTACTCTTACTTTTAAGATTCCATGCTGGTCAAAGAAAAACCTATAGAAAGTTGTAAACCAAGTTAATGGGCTAAATCATACTGCCCCTTGGAAAGTTAGTATTCCTCTGCTAGACTTGACAGTGCGCTGTTTTTGCTCTTCAGGGAGCTAATTTGAGTTTTGTTTCTTAAAGTTACCCCAGTAAGTAAACAGAACTGTACTATCCAAACTTTCACGTGTATAACCTGATAAATAAGCCTAATTTTATTGGAGTACAGTGGTAGGAAGGTGCTGACTGTTCTAACTGGCCCCTAATTGTTCCAGATAATATTCATGACTAATGCCTGGGTGGCTACTTGTATAGCAGGCATTTTTCAGATAAATGTTGCTTTTGCTCCTGGGAAAAAAAAGAACACACCCAGCATGGGTACATATGTCTTTTGTTACTGAAACCCCTCAGAATGGGAAGGAACAAACTCACATCCTCAAATTCAAATGCCTCTGTTTCTTAGTTCTCCATCCTGATGTAGTGGTTAGTGTCATCTAGCGCCATCTGATGCTTGGCTATAAAGCCACTGCTCTCAGATGAGGGACAGCTCTTTCCTAAGTGTGTATTGTCTACTTTAAAGAAGAAACTTTATGATTTAAAACTGATAACTTTTAAAACAAAGGAACTTTTAAAAAGTTCTTAAGACATTCTTCTTCTTTTAAAGTCCTTTCTCTCCTAGTCCCTTTCCTCTTTTGGTTTTTCCTCTAGTTTAGAAGATGAGAGAGAATTCCTCTGGTAGGTCAGCATGCTACATTACAGATAAAAGAGTAGACCCTAGGAGAGTCATCTGACTAGTTCAAAGTCAGACACAGCTGGAAGGAGAATTTGGGGTTTGATTTCTAACCTAGAACTTACATAACAAGGCACATTCCTCCTTAACTCTTTACCCTGGATTCTGTCATTGGTGGACACATGTTAAGGAGCCTTAGAATCCTCTTATTTGTTTCTTGCTAAGAGATCTTTCCTTTATGCTTTGTGTCTGCTTCCACTTGGTGTAGCTGGAGAAAGCATATGCCAATAGGATTTTCAAGTCTAAATGGTGAGGGGTTTTTTGTTCCATCAGCATAGTTACAATAATGTGAAGTCTGCCTCACTCCTTGTCATTGCCTCACTCCCTGTCACTCTGCCAAACTTTCCCTATTAGCTATGAATTGAAGGATAAAGTTTGGATACAAACTTTAATTTTTCCATTGTCTTATTTTCTCTCTTTTCTGATGAAACTCTTCATATATTTATTATGTAGTTTTCACTGAGTCAGAAAAGAGCAGAGGTTTGTACTCCTTCTTTGTTAAGGGCAGAAAGTAAATAGGACATTCAGTCTACATCATCACTAGTCACCTTTGCTTTTACAAAAGGAGCCATCACAGTATGTAAATGAATGAGCCTGACTCTGCTTCAGTAAAACCTTATTTGTGGATGCTGCAGTGAGACTCTGTTCTTATAATGTTTAAATGTCATGGAAGAGTTTACTTCTGATTTTTTTCCAGGCACTTAAAAATGTCGAATCTACTTAGTTTTGTTTTGTTTTGTTTTAATAATGGACAGGCAGTGGGCCACTCACTTGCAGTAGTAGCATGTGAGTCCCTGACCCACAATATACTTGTATATACATGGATGAAAAAAAGAAAGCAAGCAGATTTCTTCTATTCCTGTTCTTTTTAAAAAGTATTTTTGTGGTGAAACTTCTAGTTACTAAACTGTAAGTTTGGAGCGAGGGTTCCAGGTCTGTCTTTTCTGAACCAGCTTTTTGACATAAAGTCTGTAGAGTTTAATTTCCTTTTTTCTGTTCATCTTCTTAGCCTTACTCTTCTAGAATCTGTTTACATTTGGAAAAGTTAATTGAGCTTATGATTGTAGTTGAGGGTGGAGTGGCCTTTGTTTAATATTATTTAGTCCAGTATGTCGGGCACATGCCTAGTCTATGTGTTAGCCAGTTATTGCTTCATCTACTTATTCTGTCTCAAATGTAAAACAGAACACGTACATGCATCTTATGCTTTGCTATTGTCTTGAAAAACTAGGACAGTGATGAATTTGTTGCAGTTTTCTAGTAAATGTAAATAATCCATTATATTCTTATGAGGGAGGGTCTTCCCATTTTGTAACCTCCTTTTAACATCATTAATTGTAAAAGCAATGGGAATCTCTGTCCAGAGTGGAACTACCAAGGATTTAAAGAAGCAAGCTACTGTTTTCTCTAGTCTAGCTGATATCTATCATACAAATTAATTAATTTCTTACTCCTTCCTTAACCCATTTGACATGTTGTAAGCCCTTACTTTAGAAAATAAATGCTTTAAAATCATAGTTTGTAAAGGAATTAGACAATATCAAGATTTATGTTTGCTTATATTATCAGACAACATACATGAAGGGTTAAGTGCTGCTGATTTCTTGATAATTTCAACTGATATTTCTTTACTGAATTGAAAATTATTCACAATCTAGGAGGCAGAGTCATTAATTTGTACCTAGTAAGGTTCTTTTCCATTGATCATTTTATCATTTTATGATTATGGTTTAATGTTAAGTATTGCCAGAGTTTTAATAGTAATTACAATTTAGTATTCAACATTATTCCCTTTTACATATTTCAGTGGTTTCAGACTACCTTTTGATGTCTTCTTGTTTTCCTCTCAATGAATGAATATCATTTATCAAGTGCTTAGAACAGACTGGCACACAGAAAGTACAGATGCTGCTTAGTTTTGCAACCTCAGATTCCAGTATCCTATTGACTGATTTTAATTACCAATGAAATATGATGGTTCAGGCTGTTATAACTTTTTGAACATATGTTATAAAAACCTGAGTATAATAGCATCACATAATAATTTAAGTTGGTATACCTGGATATTATTTTATTTCTGAGATCCTTGAAATTTGAAGATACCTAAAAGATTATCTCTGTCTAGCACCTTTGCTTTATTGAAGAAGAAATGGATTCATGATTAAATGCCTTGCCATTTTCCACAACTAATTGACTTTCAGCTGGACTGTAACCCAACTTCTGTGCTAGTAATATTTCCATTAACTGTATCCTGAGAAGTCATCCTGAGGGTGTACTCTCAGGAAATTCAGTTCACTTGGTTTAGGATAGGATTTTGCTTTTTAAACAAGTATCCCTGAATGATGCCTATATATACTGAAATTTGAAATTCATTGTGTTATACTTCCATGCCTTCACTAATAGTGAAGAGAATTTCTTTGGCCATTTAGGATCTGAACTGATTCATTTTAAAATAAGTCTTGTGTTTTTATTTGCTTTTTGTAGCTACAACTAAATACCACCAAGATGGTATTCATCCTAAGTGCTTGCTTATATGTCAAAATCAATAAGGTATTCTCAACCTTATTATTTCCTAAAGAAAGACGGGAAGAGGTGTAGAACCATGTGTTGAATGAGAAGCAGGAGATGATATTGAATTCCTGAGTCCATAAATAAAACCTCTGGGACCATTCACCTTGAGAGTATGTTCCACTGTGGCTAGCAAGGAATTTCAGATTACTATTTTCCTGCCCTAGACCTGTAACCCAACATCTCCATGTGGTGCAAGATGTTGCCAAGTTCATTAGAAAGGAAGTTGCTCTCCTGGGGTATTTGTTCTTGAAGGTATCTCTGAAATAATTCCTTTCCAGATTCTCATTGAATAAGCTTGTTAGCCATATGGAACGGTTAATTCTGCAAGCCAGTATATCTTGTCAGGAGACAAATACTCAAGAGCAAATATATTCAGGGACAACTATAAAATTCCATATGTTGATATTAGCTTACTAGGAATTTACTCTTCATTAACGTACCCTCCCCAATCAGGAAAGCATTTTCAGTCAGAACCATGATTCCGTTTTTTATAATTAT